TGTAGCTATGAAACTGGATCTCAGATTATGCACCAGAAGCCTTCTCTTGCTCTGTGCCAGATTTGGGGGCCTTTAGGCAAAGAGTTTTCGAGTTGTCATTAAAAAAAAAAAACTTTTTTTACCCGTGCAGATGCAAGTAACCAGAAATATACAGCCACTGAAAGATGAGGCATTGATAAGACAAAATTTGCATACCTTAAAAAAAATCTCTTTTGGCACTTTTTTTCTTACAAAATGATTGAGCCATTCATGGCTCTAATTCAACATTTTTAATTATTGCTTTTACAGTTTGAAAACCACTGAAATCTGCTCGCTATCTATAACTTTGAACATTTTAACCTGACTTATTTGCACAGTCAAGCATTCTGACCAATCAGAATGTGGCTCACAGACACGTATCTACGGATACGCGGCAAATTCTCTTTTCTCCACCCCGCCCCCTTTGTTCCTCGCTTTGTGGGGGGAGCAAGCATTGCGCTCGAGGCACCGCTGAATCTGCCAGGAGCAAAGCCGCACTGCTGCCACTGCAGTGCATTAAAAAGAGGTGCCGTGTGCGTGTGAGAAAGAAAAATATTTCTCACGCAAGGCCTGCAAAGGAGGAGGGTGTCATTTATGCAATGGGAGCTTTGCAAAGAGAGCCAACAAACTGCTCGGAGGTGCACGGAGGAAGGGGCGGGGTGTTAGGGGCGGCGGAACAGAAGGAGAGCAAAAGAGGCCCGGGCACACTGGACGGTGTGCCAAGCGGGGCACCCCAACGGGAAGGGCCTGGCATCACTCCCCCATCCAGGTCAGGCACTTGCATTCCTGGAAGGAATCAGCTCACTCAGCTCCCCCGCCTGCCCCGGCACGGAATGGAGCAGGCAGGCAGGCAGGGGAGGAAGCGAGGTGGGCAGACGGGCGAGGCGTTTGTGTGAACCCACACCTGCATGTCCAGTTCTGAGCACAGTTTTCTAGGAATAAGACCTACAGAACTTAAAAGAACGTACTTCTGAATAGCATTTAATTGGCCCATGCTGTTTATAGGCTGCAGGCAGCTATACAGGGCAAGTGTCACAGGCCTGTCACTTTTAACCCTGCTGTGGTGTTCAATGTGAAAGGAATGGCCAAACCGTTTTAAATCCACCCTGTGAAAATATTTAAAAAGATCAATTCAGGAGCCAGGGACATACTGAAATTCTGATGCAAATGCACCCCTCTAAAACGTCTGGCAGAAACTCTCTCCTGATTACTCTTCGCAGCCAGGCTTGCTGGAAACGTCTGGCAGAAACTCTCTCCTGATTACTCTTCCCCCTTTTTCTCCGGCTGCTTGGCCATACATTGCCATGGCTGCAGCTCTTTGCAGCCAGGCTTGCTGCCAGTTGATTTCAGCCTCCTGCCTCTGTGCTTTAGTATATGAGGACAGATCCTCATGATTTCATATGCTTTTTAGAATTAATCCTCTCTAAACCACAGTCAGATCATAGAACCCATTTGCACCCATAGAGTGTACCACAGAAATCAGTGCATGGCTTTGTGGTGATGCAAAAACATGGATTTTCATGGAGCAACATGATTTTTCTGCAGGACCATCCCCAAACCACTGTCCAATCATCTGAAGCAGTGCCCACAGACTACAAGACAGAAATCATGGGTGCCAAATCATGGCTTTGCAATGGTGCCAAAGAACAAACCAAGGCAGAGATATTCATGGATCCACATTATTTTTCTGCAGGATCATCCCCAAATCACTGTCCAAAGGAGGGCCTCCAGGAAGATCCCAAAAAGCAGACGGAGCTGGGTGTCATCAGCACCCTAATGGTACCTCACCACAAAATTCTGGACAGCCTCTTTCAGGTTTTTTTAAATGTAGATGTGAAATAGTATGGGGAATCATGGAACCCTGGGACACTCCACAGGCCAAGGTGTTGAACAGGGGTCCCCCAGCACCACTACCATTCCCCAAGTGACACTAGGGAAGGGAAAATCTCAGAAACTGACTCCTTTTTTTCATCAGATCCCCACTTCTCACCCAAATAAAAACAATTGTCAGGGCTGCAAAGTATGTAGCTATGAAAGGTATGAAACAAGTATGAAAGGTAGTGAGCTGAAGAGGGTATCGCGTAGACCAGGGATCCCCAATCCCCAGTCCGCAGCCCCGTGCCGGTCTGTGGGCTTCCTGGAATTGGGCCGCAGAGACACATCTCCGCCTGCACGCATGGTGGGTGTGTTGCGCTCTCACTGGGCATGTCACGCTCGTGCGGGGGTGGGGTGTGTTGCGCTCTCACTGGGCATGTCATGCTCATGCGGGGGTGCCCCCCCCCAACTGGTCTGCAGTACCAAAAAGGTTGGAGACCACTGCCTTAGACCCTCTTGACTGCTGCCATTAGAGTTGTCAACATTCAGGCCGCCCTTCACTATGTAAAACTTGGCGTCCTTTTTCCTGGTAGCAATGCAGGCACAATATTGTGCAGCAATATTGAACAATTTCCTGCCTTTTTGAATTATGGGTACAGAAGCACAAGAGCGGTCTGCAGTACCAAAAAGGTTGGAGACCACTGCCTTAGACCCTCTTGACTGCTGCCATTAGAGTTGTCAACATTCAGGCCGCCCTTCACTATGTAAAACTTGGCGTCCTTTTTCCTGGTAGCAATGCAGGCACAATATTGTGCAGCAATATTGAACAATTTCCTGCCTTTTTGAATTATGGGTACAGAAGCACAATAGCCCACATTCATAAACCAGAAGTTTTTTAAAAAATTGAATTTAGATATAATTGAGTACTACTATAAAGGTGAGCTGTCCCTTCCTGGTGATATTTGAAACAGAATCTGGATGACTATCTGTCAGAGCTGTTGACAATGCTCTACATGGAGTTTCCTTTCAGAAACAATGGGACAATTCAGCTGGTCCAAAGCTCTGTAGCAAAAATGATTGGTTGGACCCAGTGATATGACACCTTCTTATATAGCAACCATTTCTGTGCTGAAGTCGAAGTGCTGATTTGTAATATTTAGGGGTGATGCTCTGATTCCTGGAGAGTTCAAAGGGATTATGCTGAAAAGAAACTTGAACTAATGTTTGGCATTCTTAGATTCTAAAGAACTAGAAGAGTCTGGTTGGTACGCTGGCTTGGGAAATGTTCAAACTTAAACTACTCTTCAGGTTTTATATTTGAGGGTCTGGAAATTTGCAGCCCCTAGATTTTGTACAAAATAATTTTGCCCATTTACTGCTGGTAGTACCCCCTTTCACATTATCACCTCTAGCTAGACTTGAATTATCACTACTTTCAATTATTTCAATCATGACTTTGATTTACAAAGCAATCATTAATTACTGTCTGAACATTATTTTTCCAGGTCTGCTAATACTGTATTTACATACAGAGAGATAAGATCTCAGAGAGCAGTTTTGTATGGATTTCAGTTGCTAAACTTGGAGTTTCAGAACCTCAGAAATGAGAAGCCTCTTTTTATGTACAGCTAAGCCCTCAATAAAGCAAAGGCTGCTAAATCTGAGCTTTCAAACAGATGTAAGATTACTTGGCACCTTGAGAGCCACTGTTTTTTATAAATGGATTTCTCCTCTCCTGAGTTTTCCCATCTTATTTTACTGATATTATAAATTTTTATCATAGAAAGGCCTCTAGTAAGGCACTTTGAAAAATACTGCCACTTGCTGCGTTGGAAGGCCACTATAACCAAGCATACAAAGGGACCTCTTTTGTGATGGTAAGGCTGTTGAGGAATTGGATAGCATGATACTTTGGTGTCCTGTATGTGTAGCTGAGCATGAAAATCTTTTGAGGGCCATCTCAGAACTAGCCTGACATCCTCCATATACTGTATTGGACCACAAATCCCACTGCCCTCTAAACAGTGCAATGAAAGATGAGGGGATTACAATTTTAATCTAGTACATCCTTTCTCGTTTTCTTATTGATATTTCTGTCTTATGTGGTTTTAGGGGGGATTTGTTTTTTCATTACAGCATCACTTCTGTCTTAGGGCCATCTCAGAACTAGCCTGACATCCTCCATATACTGTATTGGACCACAAATCCCACTGCCCTCTAAACAGTGCAATGAAAGATGAGGGGATTACAATTTTAATCTAGTACATCCTTTCTCGTTTTCTTATTGATATTTCTGTCTTATGTGGTTTTAGGGGGGATTTATTTTTTCACTACAGCATCACTTCTGTCTTACTGCGCAGTCCCAGGTTGCCCCCAGAAGAATGGAATGGTAAACCACTTCTGAGTACTCTCTCTCTAGAAAATCCTATTGTGCAGAAATCCACACAAGTACTACAGTGGCATTCTAGGAAGTTGTGGCTTGGAAAATTGTAAACAATGCACCTGAAGTGCCAGGGTTCTGAGCCATCACCACCACCACCACCACCACCACGACCTTAGACACTTAGTTGATAGATGGTGTGTATACACTGAACTAAATAATATACAAATAAATGCTGCATTGCATTCTAGACTGTGGGTTCTGCCTCTGAGCAGGAGGCTGAAATGGATGACTCTGCACAGCTCTTTCCATGCTATAATTTAATTTGCTCAAGAGGAACTTTCCAGGAACTTTCCACAGTAACTTCTTTTGTAGCAAATCTATCATCACAGAAGGAAATGTTAAAAGAAGTTAAGCAAAGAATGTGTAATTCTACTCTAAGAAGCAAATGATTAGTCTTTTCTATATGGCAGGTAATTTTAATTCCAATAAGAAATGAATTAATTAAATCCCAATACTTGCATAATATATGATGTTCAAAACTCCCAAAACTCTTCTGCAAAAGTATACAGCTGAACTGAACATTACCCAATCATATTTCATAACCAATTGTACTTTACAATCACTTTACAACAAGTAGCAGTCATCCATCCCCACCCCCGAGCATTTCTTTGAATGAATTAATGTATATTCATATCCATCAAATCTTTGAATAAGCATTAGAAATGAAAAACAAAACAAAATCTGTGTTATAAAATATACATTACATTGTAAAAACAAAAACTACCTTATATTTCACAATATTTGATTTCAGAATGTTGACCTCTTCTTGCATTTGCTTTAATCGCTCATGAAGGTACCTGGGAAGTGAAAAAAAGAGATAGTAATTTATTGCTCTGAGGCATCTGTATTCCAGAAAGCACCTGCAGAGAGATCAATCAATCAATTCTTTATTTACATTCCTTAGACCTATCATACAGAGAAGTGGACAACCCAGATCCACACAGTCTCTGCTATACGTAAAAACATCAAACATAGACATAAAACTAGTTTTTTTTCTGATCGGTCAGGGATGTTTTCAATCAATAATCTGAGTTCATGCTACTGAATAATGCGAGCAGCGGAAAAGCATGTGGTCCATGGATGCGGCCTCACCAAGGGAGCAGGAACACAGCCTCTCAGCAAGTGGGGCATTCCTGCACTTCCCTTCAAGCATAGCAAAGGGGAAGGCAGCACGCCTCGCTAGAGTAAAAGTTCTTCTAAACCCTTTTACTTCCAGAGATGTTAAATAATTAGCTAGTTCTATAACATTTTTAATATAGGCCCTTACCATAGTGTTTTGTAGGCTGGAAAGATCTGATTGGCGCTCAGTATCCTCAATTCTCTGCTTAACAGGTGTTGGTGTAGGCTGGAAAGATCTGATTGGCGCTCAATTCTCTGCTTAACAGGTGTTGGGTTGTTTTTTTTTTTGCCTGGTCTAATCCATATAATAAAAGGGCACGGACACCAGTTTTCATCATATAACTCTGAACAGATATGTCCCAGTTCGATTGGAAGTTATCAATGAATTTCTCATAGACAGCCCCCACAGATTGCAGAAACTCTGACTCAAAGTGTTCCTCATGACTGTATTAGGATGGGGCAGGATGGGCACATTACATCTTCTCATGTGTGAATACAGCATGTTTGTAAACAAATGAAGATTGCTTTAACCATACAAACTTATTCTTGTATTGCAGAGGATTACTGTTGATCAAATTCATGAGGTGACCATGACAAATTATATGTAGCCCATTTTCTGAAGAAATGGGCATTATTATACAAACTCACCTGTTCTCCATACAAAGAGCATCAATATCAATAATGCGGTTTACATGTCCCCCGAGAACATGGTTAAGCTCCTGGTTTAATCTCTCAGATTTATCTTGGTAAAAAGAGCATTCCTGCTTTACATCTTGGAGCTCATCCAACGCTGCTTGAAGATCATGTTGCAGAGCTTCAATCTGCCAAGAAAGCCAGATTTTTTTAAAAAAAATTAATTTGCAATGCACTGTGCTGAAGATCATATTAACCTGTGTACAAAATCACTTGTACAGACAAAGGTTTTAACAAGAGAAGCTAATGATTGAGTTGTCTTTCTTTTTTTACAGCCAACACTGCAAAATAAAGTTTCCCAGAAATGTCCCAATTATGGTGCAATTTACGACCAGACTAATGAGGGCAATGGCAAATCAAGTTTATTCAAACCCAAATCACCTACAATTATGTCAAAAGTAGGTCTGGATGGAATAAAATTAATTTTAATAAGAGACAAGGTATAGAGAGGGGTTCAAGACATTTCCTCACACAACCTCCAGCAGCCATGATTAGTCCCCATGCAGCCTGGCTGACTAAAAGGCAGAAAAAAGCTACAAATGGAGGGAAAATTTAGTACACATCACCCATGCACTGGAAAAAACTGGATTCCAGTCTAAGAGAAGTATTTTGTCACATAACAATTTATTTACTCATGGAACATAAGCAAAAACAAAAGAAAAATAATAAATATTAAATAAAAGAAACTGAAAACTACTCATGGCATTCACTGCTACAAGGTGTAATAATGGCCACTAGCTTAAACAGCTGCAAATAATAATGGCCACTAGCTTAAACAGCTGCAAGTCATGATGGCTACATGGAAGATCTGTGTTTAGAGGATCCATCTGCACAGCACTGAGAAATAGTTGGTAGGGAGCAACTAAAGGAAAGGGATTTTAAAATGCAGGCCTTAGACCAATTGATTGATACCATATGACAAATTATCCAGCTGAACATTTAGTAATAATTGATTCATTTGGTCCTGGGTTGATGTGTTGTTTTACATTACACCTTCAAGAGGGTTACCACCTTGGGTTACAACTACATTGGCCAAATAATCTGAGACTTTTGTCGGGGTATTCCATTAATACATATCACATGATCTTTATGCCATTGTCCCCATGCTCATGGGGCAGCCTCAACTGAACTGGATTTATTCAGTGCAGGGAACTACACCACTCTTTAAATGGCCTTAAAGAGACCTGGGGTTGGCACTTTAATACACCCATGGGTCTGTCCTGACTCCATCTACATTCTGTCCTTGTCCATAACTGTCTTCTCCAAAATTACTTTTTTCTCTTCTTTATTCTGTCATAGCGCTGCATCACTGTTGCAGACAGAAAGACTAGCACCTATGTGATGCAGCAGTAAAGTTGAACAGTTTATTTTAAAAATTCTTTTGAAAGGGACAGCACTCATGATTTTCTGATGGGAAATCATCCCAACCACCTCAAACACATCACCAAGACATCAGCATAGGGAATGCCCACCACTACCATAGAATACAACATGACCATTCACACAACTGAAAAAAATGCCAAAAACCAGCAAGATGTAGGAACAATTTTTGAACACTCCTGATGGGTGTTCAAAAAGAAAAGAACTTTTCTTGAGGTAGAGTTCATGTTTTCCCCATACTTACAATAATACTGTGTAGTCAGGATATTTGGAATCAATTTGCATCATGCTAATCCCAAAATAACTGGAGAAGTATATTGCAATATAGTCACACCTTTGGTCTTTTGCAACAAGAATCTTGTGGCACTTTGAAAACTAGCACGTTTTATTTGGCACAAGCTTTTGTGAACTATAGACCACTTCATCTGCTTCGTGGAGGGTCACCTGAATAGCCAGATATTTATACATATGCTTGGGTAGAAATGGGATGAAAGGAACAGAAAATTACAAAGACTGGTGAATTATCTCCACCAGATTAACAAGCAACCATTCAGAAATGACAAGGACATGCTATCATATATACGGTGATTTTTTTAAAAAAAATCCTTTTAGAGTCCATGGCTAAAAGGCAGAGGGAGAGATTTAATCCACAGACAAATTCTGTGTGGGAAAGTGTAATCAAAAAGGCAAGAAGAAACAGAAAAGCAAGCATTATAGGCAGTGCAAAGGTGTTAAACAATGGTCATTAAACAAACAAAAGTTGGTTGCTGATGTAATTCATCTATCAACATTTGCTGATTAACACATGGAGTAAGATGAAATGCCTTTATTCCTCTTCAAGACACAGGGACAGAGGCAAAATTCTTGATTAATTTTTATTCAATGTTTCAATGGGAACAAGAGCATTGACAGAGTTCATTTACAGGTCAAATATTTTCCTGCCCCTTCTTATATAGAGATTGTAGAAAAACTTTTCATTACAATACAAGCATGAACCTCTTCTCTACATATGTAGAAGATGTCCTTGTCACCTTCCAATAACTACTTGTTAAACAACCATTGTTAAGAACATCAATGTTTACAGCTTTTGAATTTTCAATTCCCCTTCATTCCTCTCCTGCCCCAGTATGTGTAAAAACATCTCCCTGCTGATGCTATACTCCATACATCTGATGAAGTAGGCCACAGTCCAAGAAATGTAACACTAAATAAATCTACTTTGTTTTGAAGATACCACAAGACTGTCTGTGTTTATATTACTTATTAGTTTTTATTCCTTTTTTAAACTTTTGTATCAATCTTTGCTATGTTCAGTAATTTTTTTGAAAAAGAAAAATCAACTAGGTAATAGTATAACTAATAATAGTTCTAGGCAGCACCTCCCTAGCCAAAGTGGACAGTTGTGCTGTCAGAATAAGTCTTTCGGTCAAGAGGTTAGAAGTTTAGGATCCCATTCAACAGAATGAGCATGAGGGCCACCAATACTAGAGAGTGAATTGTGTTGGACTGTATGAAATAGAACACACTGCCGTTTCAAGGGTACCTGGAAGATGATCAGTTATTTGTAAGGCTGCCAAGTCTAGCTGCAATATTAGCTGTGGGCAAGAGATGTTTTGCCTGATGGAGCAGATCTCCTCTTCTTTTTACTTCTGTGACCCACCCTACTTGAGAACTCTGAGTCTATACTGTAGGGATCAGAATGTATGACCATAAACTGTGCACATTGTTTAATTACTTGTTCTCTTGCTTTCTCCAGTTGCTTGACAAGATCCTCCCGCTCATGTGCTGCAAAATGGCGTGCTCCAACTTCCTCATCCCCAAGTCTTTGTTTAGCTATTGTCATCCTCAGGAGCTGAAAGAAACACCAGAAACAGTACAGTTAGCCCATAAATGAAAGCAATTTAAAGAGAATTAAAGGAGTCAGCAAAAAGTTTCTTTAAGCGTCATACAAAGCTAAGGCCATCCTTGCCACAAACTGTACTTTTTATAGGTAGTTCCAACCAATCTCAGGTTCCACCATGGACACCTGGCCTTTCTGATTTTCACATCCGGCAACAGACACATTTATTTTGGTAGATGGCTACAGAAGCAGCATGCACTGAGGAACTCTGTACTATATAGTGTAATGTACAGCATGCTGTCCACACAGCTCTTCTTGCTCAGAAAGGAAGAACAGATCAGATGAAAATATACCTGACACATTTTTAGTCTTACATAATGGACATTAGGCAGAGAGGCAAGTATACTGATTCTTTTCCATGCATGGCACTATCTTCTATGACTTACCTGCTCTTCCTACCAAGAGGCTGCTGACCTATTAATTTTGCTACGCATTCTGTAACAAGAAGTTAATACACACATACTTCGATCTCAAGCAATGACTGATGTGTCAAATGTCCTTCACAGATTCAAAACAAAGATAAGCCTTTGTGTTTTGCCTTCCCACTCTAAACACATTTGATCTCACCTGATTTTGGAAAATATGGAAGATCAGACCTAGTTAGTAGCCTGATGGAAGGCCACCAGAGAATAAAAAGGGATTCCCAGGTACAGTCAGTAAAGAATCCTGACTGAAGCCTTGGGAAAATATTGTGTTGCTCATCAGAGTTGACAATACTGGACCAAACGGATTGAGGACCTGCCTTGGTATAAGACTCTATCCTACATAAGAGAAGAAATAAAGTATTTTTTTCCATGGTGAGAGTATGCATGCTAATGCTGTTGTTTTATTTTATATTTGTTATTATTTGGATTGTTGTTAGCCGCCCAGAGTAGACTTTGGTCTAGATGGGCTGGGTATAAAATAAAATAAAATAAAATAAAATAAATAAATAAATGTGTGTAAATGTGTGAATCTTATCAAAATGCATGAACTGCATGATCACGAGAAAGAAAGTGAGAAGTATGGCTAAACATAAAGCAGGGAAGACGCACCCCAACATTTTTGGATGCATTCTCTCCAACTCTGCTTGGACCATCAGTTACCTATTGGCTATAAAATCTGCAAAGCTACGTTTGTAGTCTACACAGGCTTGTTCAGTGCCTCTGATACACCAGCGTGTTTATGACTAAATTCCCTATATTAGAAAAACTATTAAGACCTCCATCAGGCAAGATGTGTCAAACATGAAAAACAATAACAAATATTTCAACACTGCTAATACGACTGTTGAGAGCAAATGTGCCAAGTAGCATGAACTCAATTAGAATTCAACCTTTCCCTACCCCTACTGTCAAAAACTATTTGGAGGACTGAAAATAAAGTACGCAAGAAACTTGCAAAATGATGAGGGCATAGCAGATGCAACCGTTTAATTTTTCTCCCTACTTTGCATAGCTGGAAGAGAAAAAAAAAGAATTACATCTCAGTGGTCCAATTTGTAGAACTGATGCAGAGGCATGAGGAATCTGCAGTGAAAACTCCCATGTCTTAACACTTTGCAGCTGCGCTCCAGAATTAATGCACATCATTATATTTCATGAATTAGGAGATCACTCTTCTGAAATTGAGCAGTGCATATTCAGGCTACCTAAAGCAATTTCAATATGCCAATCACTGAAGTACCTACGGGCCAATTAAAATATTGCTGATGCAAATGACCACGATGTTCTGCTTCAGCCCCATTAAGCCCATGCTGCTGCGACTGCTATTCTTCATTTGACAAACTCTACAGCGTGACAGACTTGCAGACCTGAGTGAGGCAGTGACCCCCATGTTGCTTTCATTTTGGCAAATTGGGTTATTTTTACAGACCCAGCCAGCAGAAAAATGGGAGGGGAAAAAGCGCAGTTAAGGTTACTTACTCTGTGTGCGTGTGTATGTGGGGGGGGGTGATGCATGGCCATCCTCCTTGCAAACTCATATAACAAGGAGTTGCTGGTACAGAGGTAATGCTGATGTTCTCTCCTGCACAGTTAAGTGATTGGAAGTGGGTCTTCCTCATCCACCTCCCTATAGCTTCAGGCTTTATCATATTGTATCAGTGACCATAGTAAACAATACATGTGGCTACAGTAACACATGTCTTAGTTACATATCGCTTGCATTAATGTAACACACTCTGTGATAGTTGCCTTTGAAGACAGTTCAGACAGAAACTTCAGCTGGATCAAAATGTAGCAGCCAGAGTACAAACTTGGGGCAGTTATAGGAAGCATAGAATAATCCAGTTACAACAACTGCACTGGCTACCAGTCCGCTTCTGGGCCGAATTTAATGTGTGCCAAGTACAATGTGGCCAGAAGCCACTGCATACCTTCTTCACATCCCAAGCCATGTGACATACAGCCAAGAATGAGCCCACAGGTATGGGGTCCTATCCATATTTTGGTGGACTTTCAAACGTTACCAAAGCAGAGTGAGAACAAACACCGGGAGTCGCATGCTGAACTGCACGAAGGGTGTTCCCCCAGGTGATCATGAATCATAGTTAGTGTCAAAGCTAATTCAGTACTGGCAAGGCTGCCACTGAAGGTCATGACCAGAAGAGCAGACAAAAAAGGATGAAGTACCTTTTCCTTGCTATTTTTCTATAGAAGAGTTTGTCAAAGCTTTAAATGAGAAAGCAGCTTCACAGCAAACCTTACTCAGGATGCTTTTCTTTTGCATGTTCCCTCCCTCCTGCACATCATGCCACCCCCTTTTGGGAAGCTGTTTTTTTAAAAAAGAAGTGGCTTGGGGGAGAAACTTTGTGGAGAGAATTGAATGATGGTGACACACACACACACACACACACACACACCATCTTTACAAGAATGTCTGCAGGCGAAATAGCAAGATTGAATATTTCCATCATAAACAAGTTTTAGCCCTCTAGGGGGGAGAGAAGAAAATTGTTTGACAGCAAATAGGCTGGACGAATTCAAATCAGCCTTGTATGTCATGCAGATAGTAAAAAAAACCTGAATTCTTCTGTTTTATAAGTGGAGTAAGTCCTGTGGTTTTTGATCATGTAGCTGTCCTCAAAAATGGAATACTGTTGCACTAAAGCACCATAAAGTTTTTGTGGTTTGTTTGTTTGTTTGTTTGTTTGATTTGTATCCCACCCATCTGGTCTGTTCAACCACTATGGGCGGCTTAACAGCATTTAGCAACATAACTCCATAATACAAAGAATGACAGTAATTAATTTCTGGCTGCTTCTCCAATTTTCAAAATAGTATTTCTCTGCGGATGACTCATGCAACCATTCTTTTAGAAGATCCCAGTTCTTCCTTTCTTTTCGTCCAGCTTCACCGTTTATCCTAAAGGCAGCACAGCAAGCATTTTTTTTTTACTGTTTCACATTCAGTGCCCAAGAAGCACATTTCCTCAGTAGCAACATGAAACAAATATCACTTTAAAAACTCAGAAATCTAGGAGCACTTCTGGTAGTGTATGTCAGACTTGATAAGAGATTGTGATCAGTAATAAAAACAAACAGCCTTAGAACTCCAAGTGCTTGCAAACGGCACCCTTATGTGTCACCAGAACTCTTGTCAACAGCAGTCACAATCTTTGGAAGAGGCTGCCAAAAAGCTTTTTGTGTGTGTGTTACTTTGTAACCATTTGCAGCCATTTTTGGTTATATTTGAGAGGCAGCTACATAAAGGATAAAACTAAAATATTTCTTAAAACAATATTGTTTAATTAATTTGCCTTTGTAATATAACCTACTGAATTCATGTTTTTGCAACTAACATACTGGCCATCAGCTGAAACACATTCTTCTCCCAGTTCCCAGCCAGCCATTAAAACTGTGAAAAACAAGCCTCTGCTTCTCTTGATGGATATGTCTGCAGAAGAATTTCCCCTCCTCCCCACTGTGGCCCACTTTGCTTTGGGGAAAAACAACTGCATGAATCACACACATAACCAGGCAGAGTTCATCCATAAAGCATCTTTTCAGGCTGCAAAAGCAGCTGCCGGCTCATCTCTTGCCAGAGGTTACACCGTCAGAGACCATTTGGGCATTCAGTCCCACCACTTTGGAAGAGACAAGAGCATAGCTTTCAAAAGTATACAGAAATTATTCTTTGGTATGTACATGAGTCTGTGTACTTTTCTAAAAGAAAAATATTCTTATAGTGCTTTATTTGGAATCATAACAAAATCAACAATCTGCCAACACAACAGGACTCACTCTGCCAAACCCAATAGGTTCAAGGATTAACCTGTAAAATGTCTGTTACCAAAACTGAGTGAAAATAAAATTCAGCTGGCCTGCCAGGCAAGCAGATCCAAAAATGTCTTGGTTAAATAGCTGATCTGAAGAATGACATAAGCAATTTTAAAAAAAGATGTTATACAGTCTGGGATTTGTAATGTCTAGCACATGAACCAGCATGACTTGCCTTTCTTGGGTGTGTGTTGTTACAATCATCCTCACACCACTGGCACTGGAGCACCTCTCTTTTCTGTGCAGTTATGGTTGATTACATACACACAGTTTCTGGCAACTGCCTACTGCTCCCCAGCTGCTATTCTCAGGAACAACTGCCAGCTAAATACTGTAGTCACAATCCAGAGAACCACACAATTAGCTCTCTGTAACAGCCTGGCTTCTGCAGTTTTGGGGATGAGAGCACACACCTCACCATGTATCCTTGCAAGCTGCTTCTGCAACCTGAAGGCTGATGTTTTTGTTTGTTTTTCATATATGGCTTGGTTGTAAAGACAGGACATATGATGTTCAGGGTAAAGACGTCAGGCATCCCCCACCCCTTCGTGCATGCGCCTGCGCATGGAGGAGGGGTGTGCTCATGGCGACGCTGGCATGCGTGCATTCCCCCACTGCTTCGTGCATGTGCCCCTGCACATGCAGGGGGGCTGCCCCACCTTCTTCAGAGGCTCAGCCAGTCCGCGGTCAGAAAAAGGTTGGGGACCACTGCTCCACATCATGAAAGGTGGAGGAGGAAGAAGACTAAATACAGATGTGTTTGGTGCACCTGAAATAATGGAATATAACACCAAAGCAAAGAGTGCTGCTTATATACCACCTCATAGCACTTAAAGTATTTTCTGAGCAGTTTACAATTGAATTATGTAGGCTACACCTGACATAGTGATATAGAAGTCACTATGACCACTGTGACACCAGCCTTCAGCTTCATCACCAACTCATCTCCCAAACATCTGCACCCATGGTCTTTCCTTCTTCATCACCCACTTTCCTGATTTCAGAATCTATAAAGCCTTCTTTTTATAGAAGAGAAGAGAACAGAACAGAAGAGAAAAAAAAGCTTTCTCTCTATCAAGGTTTTTATAGATCTTTAAATGAAACAAAGACAATAATTTAGAAAACTGCATGCAAAACATGATTTAATTGCAGCTTGGCTAATGGACTATAAAATAATCTTCAGTTATAGAAGCTTTACTTTTGGATGAAATTTGCACAATACCTTGTTGTCCCCTTGTACTTCTCCCAACCTCTGCTGAAGTTCTTTGATTTCTTCTCCAAGGTGCTTATTTCGATCCCGAGAATCGTTCAAGAGTTGAGCAAGATTGGCCTACAAAAATTGCAAAGTTTAATTAAATATGAATGTTTTTCAAGCTGGATTATGAGGTTTGTTTAGCTCTAGTCAGCTCTGCATCTGTATTTAGTTTATTTAGTAGGGCAGGTATCCAAATGATTAATCAGGCCAAAAAGCACCATTGCTATAGCTAAAATTACTGTGAAAATAAATAAATATGTGCCATGTGTGCATATAGAGCTTGAAGATTCTACATAAACAAAGACAGATGGCAACACAAATATTGGTAGACACCAGCAGTGGGAAAAAATTTTTTTGCTACATTTTATTTACTAAGGAGGATTGAGAAAACGGTTAAAATTGCAATGCATAGCATCACCACCTTAATTAAGATGAAAAGGTTATGAAAATATAGTTTATTTCCTTTAGTTGCTTAAAATACGCAAAGTGCACCTTATCAGCAGACAAGAGTGTACTGGGCACTGGTAAATCCTTCCATTCAAAGTCACTGAAGTGAAATATTACCAAAGGATTTTACAAACCGAAGAGTATTTAACATGTTCTTGCCACACTCTCAGTCAGGGTAAGAATGATCCAATGGGGCAATTCCACATTTAAAGGACAACTTCCAACTTATTTTAAGGTACTGTGCAAGAAAAATGCTACTGAATCTACAGTGTTCTGCTTTGCACAGCCTCTTGCAGAAGTGGAAGCAAGGCTATTTCCTACCATATAACCTGCTCCATTATAGTATTGCCTGAAATCCTCTGTGAACTCTTTCCCTAGAATCTGAGACTACAGCCCTATTCAAGCATTATTATGAGAAGAGAGGTCAGCTCTAGCAATACTGTCCCCTCCAACTCAGCTGGAGCATGAACACTCTCCACATGAGTTGAATCCTGATTTTTCCAGCAGTACACATACCATCTTCATAGACAGACAGTGAAGGTGTACCGTCAAGATGTGAAATTTTGTATGTATAGTGTTAAAATATAATTAAGTGGTGTGTGGAAAAATAGCCCTGAAAGTGAAACAAAGTTGAGGCTTGAACAATAGTTTACTAAAGTTATTAGAACAAAATTAGCCAGCTCTCCAGCTAAGCAAGGTCACTGGATTATAACATCTTGACAGTTGAATATGTTTGACAAATGACAACAAAGTATAAACAAAGGATGCACATATTATAACTTGCACTATCTGTAGCAACAATATTCTAGTTTTTCAGGACTCTGGTCTTCTAAGATGCTGGTGTACTAGATACTTTATATTACAAGCCTTTATTTCTCTAGTCTTTGCAAGATAAGGATGTTTATCATAATACCGGCAGCTTGTGGATGCTTTTGCATGCACACACACACACAAATTTAACTCATTGACATATTACAACAACACTTTACACCACGTCATACACAAAGGATACCAACAACAATCATGTAGCAGCATAGCAGCAGACTTCATTTCCAGATGCCAGCAACACAAACAAAATGGGTTTTCCTTCATAGATGCAACCTGGCACAAAGCTGGCTTGGCTGGGAACATTATTTAATTATTTTTCATGTGTGTTATTAATCTGCTCAAAAGCTTAGAAATGCTTTTTACTTTATATATTCTAAATTTTAAGAACTTTGGAGATGTATTCTCTGCCTTTTGCTCTTTATATCTGCCCTTTTAAGCTACAAGCGTTTGCATTTTTAGAATGTAAGCTCCTGTAATTTTGAAACATAATTATAATACTTTATTAAGTTCTGTCCATGACTTAAGTTTTGTTTTTAAGTGTTTACATCTTCTCAGTTGTAAGAATTTTGGATGGCAATCACAGCTTTGGCAACTACAGGCTTCTGACTTTTCCCTAGAGATCAATAAAGTTCTGTAGGTTTCTTAAAGAGATGTTCAGACATCAGAATCCCTGACCTGGCAGTACCCTCTTCAGACTTGTCACTCTCCATAGACGTAATTATAAACAGTGGGGCCGTAATATTCCCCTCTTTTATTAGTAAGCTTTCTGCACAAATAGTAATGCCTGAAGAGGGCTTATGTTTGTTCCAGTCACAATTCTTCAGTCCAATCCACTGATCTTTTTCCAGACGCCAATAGGAATAACGCTTTGCTTTAACTTGAAAAGTGCTGTAACTTCATAGAAATTACTATGGAATAGCAGTCATATGAGTTTGATAACAAAATTCAATATTGAGAGATCACTCTTTCCTTGGAAAGAATTATTTGCAACTAATTTTATGGAATACTTTACATCGCTATTAGCATAAACAAATATAGTATAGATATATGTTTTAGGGAAGGCTCTGTGAATATAGGCAATGCAATATATGAATAAATCATAATGTTTGATATACTTAGAACGATCAGAAAGGCAGAATATATCTGGGCAAGTAGTTAATCATCTCAAAACTTTAGCAACTGTGCAATGTACCTGTAGAATGTCTTATTTGATCATAAAGGTATGCAATTTTTAGAAAAAAGATTATCAAAGGAAAAAACATGTAATTGGAACACACGTGGCACATCAAAATGGAGTTCATTGTTATTATTTTATTTACACATCAATACATGTACATTATTGCTGTTTTTATTGTATTTTGTAATATATTATGAATTTATTATACAGTTCAGTTGACTTTGTACTTCTCCCTTGCAGAAAATCTTTCCTTTCAATGAATAGAAATAGTACCATCCAGTAACAACTAGCTGATGTTAAGCTTATGGTAACACAGAGAACTGCGGAGGCCAGGTAAAACGTGCTAGAGTAGGCCTAACAAATAATTTACAGGATATCCAGGAAACATATCATACAATCTTTAGAGCACTGAAGGAGGGATAAGAAAAGAAAGATAATTGTTGCATCAGGAACCCAATGGACATAATGCCTTTATCAAAGATCGTTTGATAACTATTCCCATATACAGCTAGAGATGTAGGACAGGAACTGAAGAACAGACTATGGTTTGCTGATATGGATTTCTAACTGATCATCAAAGAGTTGTCTCCTTCCCAAACAGAAAACTCAGAGGAAATAGGGAAGGGGTCGCTATGCGGGGCACCACTGTAATTGGAACACACGTGCCACATCAAAATGGAGTTCATTATTATTATTTTATTTACCCATCAATACATGTACATTATTGCTATTTTTATTGTATTTTATAATATATTATGAATTTATTATACAGTTCAGTTGACTTTGTACTTCTCCCTTGCAGAAAATCTTTCCTTTCAATGAACAGAAATAGTACCATCCAGTAACAACTAGCTGATGTTAAGCTTATGGTAACACAGAGAACTGTGGAGGCCAGGTAAAACTTGCTAGAGTAGGCCTAACAAATAATTTACAGGATATCCAGGAAACATATCATACAATCTTTAGAGCACTGAAGGAGGGATAAGAAAAGAAAGATAATTGTTGCATCAGGAACCCAATGGACATAATGCCTTTATCAAAGATCGTTTGATAACTATTCCCATATACAGCTAGAGATGTAGGACAGGAACTGAAGAACAGACTATGGTTTGCTGATATGGATTTCTAACTGATCATCAAAGAGTTGTCTCCTTCCCAAACAGAAAACTCAGAGGAAATAGGCAAGGGGGAAAGAGAGAGACCAGCTTGTGATACGACACCAAGGGCTCCTGTTCCATAAATATACACAGAAGCAAGACACTTAGCAAACAGGAGGCAAAGCAGCAACAGACATCATTACTAGAAGCAGGCAAGAGGCAAGAGTAAGAGGCATCTTACTCTATGGAGTGGCTTTCACTCCATTGGTTCAAACTGGCAAATAGTTGTCTTGGCTCAGTGAGAACATTATTAAATGATTTTCTTGTGTGTCTATGTAATATACTAAAAGGCTAAGTAATATGTTCTAAAGGTAAAGGTAAAGGTTCCCCTTGACAATTTTTTGTCCAGTCGTGTCCGACTCTAGGGGGCGGCGCTCATCCCGCTCTTCAAGCCATAGAGCCAGCGTTTTTGTCTGAAGACAATCTTCCGTGGTCACATGGCCAGTGTGATTTAGACACGGATCGCTGTTTACCTTCCCACCGAGGTGGTCCCTATTTATCTACTCGCATTTGCATGCTTTCGAACCGCTAGGTTGGCGGGAGCTGGGACAAGCGACGGGTGCTCATTCCGTTGCGTGGATTCGATCTTACGACTGCCGGATCTTCTGACCCTGCAGCACAGGCTTCTGCGGTTTAGCCCACAGCGCCACCATGTCCCTACAAGTAATATGTTCTACTTCTGCATATTTTTACTTTTAAGAACTTTGATATTTGAAGAGGTATACTCACTGCTTTTTGATTTGACATTTAAGGCTCTAAGCTCCTGCATTTTTAGAAAGTAACTAAAACACTCTCCTGGTACTTTTTGTTTCTTCAATTATATTTCCACTGTACTTTTATGCTCCAGCATTTTGAAGTAAGATTGAAACATGACTTAAGCTTTTCTCTGCAAACTTAATTTTATTTCTCAGCATCTGTACCTACAGTTTTTCTCATAGCTGTAAGGAAGTTGAATGATTTTCACTTTTAAACAACTGTAACTGCAGCTTTACTTAGCAGCAATAATGGATTTATGTTGAAGAATTTACACCTGCATAAGTTTAATGACTGGATTTGTAACTGATCCTGTCTAAAAACTGCACAGCCATTCAAAATGACATAATCACAAATGCCTGCCTCTCAGTTAAAAGCATCAGGAAAGAACCAGAAAACATGCAATTATGGACCCACATGCAATGCCTGCAATTTATTTCTGGTTCTTCTAAAACATCTATGCAGCAACAGAAACTGTCTAATCCTAAATAATATTCTACGGGTCGATGTGCAAATACTTTTTTGCCAATAGGCTCACCTGGTATCAAAAGCAGTAATACACAATAATAACTGGGAGTCTTTGGGAAAAGGGGAGTTCAAGCTAACCTAAAATAAACCAAAGTGCACTTGCCATGTGGCAATTTGATTTATTCTCTCATTAACTACCGGAGCAGAATCTTAACCAGTGAAAAGGAACCCAGTATCTCAAGCAACATTTCCCACAAACCACCCACTACCCTAAGATTCAATTCCTTTAACACAGTTTCCAAAATCCAGCCACAAAAGTTGTTTTGCTTCAGACTACTGTGAACATGATGGATAGCAACGCAAATGTAATGCACCCTTAACTCCTCTGCACATAAATCTTAGCTGGCACACACAAGTTCCCATCCTATCCCATGGCCCTAGCTTGTAAACTAGGTTACAGGAGAAGGTGGAAAGAAACAGGGGCAAAGGTGAGTGACAACTGTATGAAAACTACTTAGAAACATTCTGGCATTCTCAAATCTCTTAGAAGCGTACAGTATTTTATATTGTTTAAGCCCCCATTTCAAGTTAGAGAACTGGATCCAGGAAGAACAGACAGAAAAATCTGATGAAACCTCAAGTACACTTCAGAAGTATGATTGATAGCAATTTATATTGCAATTTCTACTTCAATGGTTTTGTATGATTGTAACACCCAACTTAATACAGAAAAACCCAATTTGCTTAGTAAGAGACCCTTGAGTACAACACCAACACAAATTGATGGTATCTGCTAGCACTACAGTTTTGATACGGAAACAAACTTTGATCCATTAATTTTCCAGTGATGAAAGTTACCTGTCAGAGTCTTTTCACAGAAATGAAATGCTTTTGATGCTCTGGCAAAGATATTCCCAATAAAATAAATAATCAAGAAGAAATGCACACTGGAGTAAATTAAGGTCATCACTGTGCATCAGATTTTACATAGAGAACCACTTGGTGAAGAAATACTAAGCTTGCCTGCTTGACTGCTTGACTGATTGATTTTCTACCCTATCTATCTAGTGGCAAGCCATTATTCCTATTCTATCAGAATAAGGTTCCAAAGCCAGAAATCTCTCATAGTCTTGTAGTAATGCTCAAGGTTCTGTAAAACAAGGCATGCTTAACTTTCTCACTATTTAAAGGCTTCTGGCCCTATTCAGAAAGGAATGGAGATGGAGGTAAGCCAAAAATTATTCTGCACTCTCTTCTTCCCAGGGGACCAAGGCAGCATATCATTTCATCTGAATGAGAGAACACTGAAGATTTCTAAGTTGTTATACCAACAACCATTATAAGTTGTTATATCAACAACCACAATACAGTGGTGCCTCGCATCACGACGTTTATTTGTTCCAGCGAAATTGCTGTAGAACGAAAACGTCATGATGCGATTTTTAAAAGCACATAGTAACACATTAAAACCAGATTAATGTGTTCCTAGGGGCTTCAAATTCATCGTCCAGCGAAGATCCTCCATAGCGTGGCCATTTTCGCTGCCTGTGCAGCGAGGAATCCATGCAAAAACACAGCGGGCGGCCATTTTGAAACCGGCAATCAGTTGTTAAAAAATAATCGCTTTGCGATGATCGGTTCCCGAAGCAGGGAACCGATCATCGTAAAGCGAAATTCCCCCATAGGGAACATCATTTTGCAATCGCTTTTGCGATCACAAAAAGTTCGTCATGATGCGACTTTGTCGTCAAACGGAGCTCCCGTCTTGCGGGGCACCACTGTAATTTAATTTGTTTACTCAGGAACTTGTAGGATGTACTGAGGAAAAGCCAGGTGGTGTTTTTTCAATTTATTTGTTTTTAAGAGTTACATCTTGTCACAACTCTGCGGGTGCTGCTTTGGAGCACTGGGCCAGATCCAGTCAGGGGAACTGGGTCAACATGCCCATCTTTTCAAGCAAGCTTTTAACAATCATGATTGATTCCCGGAATGCCATTTTTAAGTTAAGATAGTTTTTAATGTTTACCTGCTTTTAATTATCCAATTGCATTTAATTAGTGTACAGTTTAATTGGTTTTTCATGTTTAATTTATGTTTTAAATTCTATTCTTGTAATATTTTGAGCTGCCTTGGCTCCCCTTATCGGGAGAAAGGCAGCCAAGGTAGCTCACTGGTTAGAACACCTAAACTAGTTAGTACAAAGGTGTGGGATTTCAGCAATGCTTTGCACTTTATACATTTGATGTAGAAGTTTAAGAAAATGCTAAAGATCTGAATTAGCTTTTTCCTGGATAGGCAGTTAATGCCTGAAATCCAGTTTTAAGTTGCAAATAGAGCAGATTCATTGAATCGGTAAGGATCTGATGAGTCAAAACCTATATAAATTCTATTGATTCAACAGGCATACCCTTACAGTGACTTGCTACTGAATTTCAGCCAATATGTGAGTCTCACCTCCAACACCTTCCAACTTGACAGTTTCTTCAATTTTGATAGATAACGTGGTAGCTACTTCACACTTTTATGTGTTTGTATTCTTCCCTTTGTTGTTTGTTAGCAGATTTGTGATACTGTCTCTGAAAAGCTAGAACTATGTTGTGAATAGAGAAGAGTGCACAATGTTGCAATTACAACAATCTGATTTAACAATCTATATTTTCAATGATACCAAACTATGACATGCACATACAAACAGAAATAGATCTACCTGTTTTCTTTTTTCAGGAGGAATCGATGGGTCCCCATCCTACAAGAAAATATAGTTTACATGGTTTTTTTTTGTAATAACAACACAACTTGATCCATTAATATAGCTTGCCTTAAGTAATTTAGTGCAGCATTACAATGTTGCAATATTATTGAAAATATATATACTCCTTATTTCTTCTCAAGAGGACCGAAGATACCGTGCAATATTAAAACATAAAAATTGGATGGGAGGAAGGGGCAACAAGGAAAAAAACAGCATTCCTGCCCCCCCTTGGCGGATGGGAGGAAGGGGCAACAAGGAAAAAACAGCATCCCTGCCCCCCACTTGACAGCCATAAGAAAGTTCAAACATGTTTATGAGTAATCTTCCCTTTCTCACACGATTACTCATAAAAATGTTCAAACCCATCCATAAGCCCAAACATGGGTTCCAGAAAAAAAATGACATGTCATGGAAATCTCCCCATCATCATCATCATCATCATCATCATCATCATCATCATCGTCGTCGTCGTCGTCGTCGTCGTCGTCGTTATTATTATTCAGAAACACCAGGTACAGCCAAAATCATAAAAACATTAACTGGTATTATATAACTGATACAAAAACCTAAGTATCTGTTAAATATCGGCACAGTATATATGATGTTCCTAATATTGCCGGGTTTTGTAGCTCTGATGGTGTGATTTCCAAGATCTGCAACTGCTTATAGCACTGTGTGAAATTTCTTTTTTTATTAGTATTAATTTTTATTCATTTTCAATGGGAATAGGGTTTGGGGTCGGGATATGGAGGGTAGGGGGGATGGATATGGGTAGGGAAAAGGTAAAATTTCAGATAGTGAGAATATTTTCACATCTGCTTCTCTCTCTCTCTCTCTCTCTCTCTCTCTCTGATTTTTAAGCCGCATCATTACCAGTGGTCTCTGAGCAGTGTACAATAATATTAAAACATCAAAAACATTTAAAAACATTATACAGTCTTACCAGTGGTCTCTGAGCAGCGTACAATAATATTAAAATGTTAAAAACATTATACAGTTATACTAAGAGGGAGATCAGAAAAACAATTTATCAAATTTTATCAGAATTAAATTTGTCAGTTAATCATCTCTCCATTCCCTACTTGGACCTTCATACTCTTCTTTCATCTATACTTTCCCATCCATATTTCGAGTCCAACTATAAAATTGTTCCCAGTTTTTGAGACTTTTTGGGATGCTTCATACTCTTCTTTTATCTATACTTTCCCATCCACATTTCGAGTCCAACTATACAACTGTTCCCAGTTTTTGAGACTTTTTGGGATTAACTTTTATTCAATGCTTCTAGTACATCCATCTATGCCACTTCCAGTATCTTGTCCGTCAGCTCCTCTGGGACGGTACTTCTTCTTTCTTCCAGTATTTCCCATATAGTATCCTAGCTGCAGTAATTCCGTGAATTATCAAATATCTAATTTCTTTATCTACAATTTCAGGCATAATGTTCAATAAAAACAGGTCTGGTTTAAATGGTACCACACACGATACAATTTTTGTAACATTTCATGTACTGATCTCCAATAAGTTTTTGTTTCCCTACACGTCCACCAGAGATGATAAAAAGTACCCTCGTGCACTTTACATTTCCAACATGTGTTGGAAACATTTTCATATATTTTAGATAGTTTAGCTGGAGTCTTATGCCATCAGTAAAACATCTTATATATATTTTCTTTGAAATTTATTGATTTTGTAAGTTTAATATTATTCTGCCAGATTTGTGTCTAATGTTTGTTCTAAATCAATGTTATCACCAAGATTTTTGTGCCCATTTTATCCTTCATCTTCCATTTTCATATTCAGGAGATATTCATACATTCTTTTACAGTACTTATTTTATCACTTGTCCCTAACAGTAGTTTATCAAATGTTGTTTGTTCTTCATAAAAGCCGATTATTTTATCTTTTACATACCTCGAATCTAGTCAAAGTCTCTTCCACCAATCTAGAAAGACTTTCTCCTCCTCTCTAGTCCTTAACACCCTGTCTTTCTTAAAGAAAGATATGTGGTATCTTCACTTTAGGAATGAAATTTCTTGATATTGTTCCCAAAGCCCCAATGACTATGGGGACCACTGAAGTGTGTTTCATACACAAACAAGACGTTTCAGTTGCCAGGTCTCTGTACTTTGTAAGTTTTTCCAATTCTTTATTTTCAGCTTTGGCACCCCTCAGAATTGCAATGTCAATGATCCAGGCATTTCTTCCTTCTATTACTACTATGTCATGTGTGTTATGTTCAAGGTGTCTATCAGTTTGGATCCAGAAATTCCACAAGATCTTGACTCCCTCATTTCCTGATATCTTCTCTGTCTGATGTTCCCATGGGTTTTTGGAGCCTGGCAAGTTATATTTTTTGAATTATTCATTATTTTTGAATAATAATTTTGCCACTCTATCACGCCTAACTTTGTATTCTGTTTGTGCAATCTTTGGACATTCACAAATGAGGTGTGACACTTTCATCTTTTTCTTGGCAGATACTACATTTGCTGTTAGCACTAATTCCTTGGATCTTAGCTTTCATCATATTGGTTTGAGTGCTTGTTCTTGTGCAGCAATAGTCAAGCCTTCAGTTTCTTCCTTAAGGGTCCCCAGTTTTAGCCATGCCCATGTTGAATTATGATCATGCTTTCCATCAATATCTCTCAGGTGTTGTCCATGTAGTGGTTTATTTTTCCAGCTGTTTCATTTATTTTCAAATTGTTTTTTTTTCTTATATTGGGCCTTTGTTTCTGTTGTTTTCAAAATATTCTCCATTTTCACTATCTTAAGTCATTTTTCTAAGCTTGTACTGATATAATCATTTAGGATTCCCTGCCCTCTCTACTACCTGCTGTATTTGCAGTAATCCACAGCCTCCGATTTTTCGTGGTAAATATAGTCTTTCCGCATCACTTTTGGATGTAGTACATGATGCATGTTCATTAGTTCCCATGCTTTTCAATCCAGTTATTATAATTCATTTTGAGTCCAATCAATTATTCCAGCTGGGTATTTAATTACTGGAACTGACCATGAGTTTATGGCTTTGATTGTACTTCCACCATTAAATTTTGATTTTAAGATTTTCCACAGTCTTTTGATATATTCCCTTTCTTTCAGTTCTTTAACTTTTGTGTGCACGATGATATCTGCTAGTATTCCAAGGTATATACAATTTTCATCACTTGAGAGTGATTTTATAATATTGCCATTTTAAAATTCTATTCCATTTAGTGTTTGGATCTTGACACGATGTATAGAAAAAGCTGCACATTTATCAATTCCAAATTTCATTTGGATATCTTCACTAAACATTTGCACTGTGTTTAGCAGTGATTACATCTCTGTGGAGCTTTCTGCATATAGTTTTAGGTCATCCATGTATAACAGATGATTGATGTTTCCTGTTTGTTCTAAAATATGGTAGGTCAACCCAGTGTTATTTAGAATTACTGACATGGGTATTAGTGAGATGTTACACAGCAGTGGTGACAAAGAAGCCCCTTAAAATATTCTTCTTTTGATGCTAATTTTGCCAATTTCTTCACCATAGACCATTAAGACAGTTTCCTATTTTTCCATGTTTTTCTTGAGGAACTTCTGAATATTTTTACTAATCCCAAATGTTTTTAGGCAAGTGTTAATCCAGCTGTGTGGCAATGAGTTAAATGGTTTTTTATAGTCTATCTAGGCCATGTTAAGCTTTGCTTTTCGTCTTTTTGCATTCTTTAGTATCATTTTATCAATAAATAGCTGATCTTTCATGCCTCTTAACTTTTTAAAGTTCCTTTTCTGTTCAATTGGGTATAGGTTTTCAGTTATGTAATTATATATTGATCTTGCCAGTACTCCTGTGAGGAGCTTGAACACTGTTGGAAGGCATGTAATTGGTTGATAATTACTGGGTTCATTGCTCTTTGATGATGATGTTGATTCTTAATATATATAGTACCAGAGACAGTAAATCAAAATTATAAAAATATTGACTGATATCATATAACAGATACAAGTTTAACCAAAAACCTAAGTATCTTTTAAATATCTGCATATTACCCTGTTTCCCTGAAAATAAGACCTAACCTGATAATAAGGCCTAATATGATTTTTCAGGATGTTCATAATATAAGCCCTACCCCCAAAATAAGCCCTAGTTAAGCCCTGCCCTCCACCATTGTACAGCAACCAGAATATGACATGACTATATTTGAATAAATGTAGATAGTTGTACATGGAAAAAGTAACACATCCCCTGAAAATAAGTCCTAATGCATTTTTGGAGCAAAAAATAATATAAGACCTTGTCTTATTTTTGGGGAAACACGCTATGTATGCTGTTCCCAATATTGCTTTTTTTTGCTCTAATAGTGTTAATTCTAAGATTTGCAACTGCTTATAATACTGTGTGAAATTTCTTAATATTATTATTGTTGCTGCTGCTGTTATTGTTACTAAAAGTATTTATACCCTGCCTTCTCGGGAAGCTCCAAGGTGGCTCACAATTTCATTTTATATTTCCACCAGTTGATGAGTTTTCTTATATTGTTGTTTTTCATTTACATTTATTGTTTTAGTCGATACCACCCAGAGTAGTCCATTTGTACTAATGGGGCAGTATACAAATAAACTGATTGATTGATTGATTGATTGATTGAATAAATGCATAAATAAATAAACTGGAAGGGGAGAGGAACAAACAAAAGAAAACCAGCAGCTCAATTGTTAGGCAGCCAGTCACTTGAGGAAACCCTACCTAAGAGCAAGGCCTTTGCCTGCCTGACAGTCTCTGTTTCATGCATTTTATCACACAAGCACCAGCTCCAAAGTAATCCAGGGGGTCAGTTTGGCTTCATGTGAAGGGGCACTTAGGAGAGATCATGTCAACTACCCCACACATTTCAACTGAGTCTTTGATAGGATTACCTGCTAAGGTGACAGGAAACTCCTCAACAGCCATCAGGAAACCATTTGGATCCATTACCCTCCTGGAATGGACCATCGGAAAAGGACCCCCACCCATGCAAAGGCTTTGGGTTCCAGTGAGTCTAAACCTCATCAGGCAGCAATGTGTTTATGACAATGGAACCACAGAAAGGTCCCCCATATCCAAATCACCAACACCTTCCCCTGTACAGAAAGCCAGGTGGGGCCAGATAGCATTTGGGTCATCATGGAGGAATGGAGTCCTGATCCATTCCTGCATGAATATTGAAATCCCCCAGCACAACAATCCGTAGGGACCCCAACCCAATCCTTGAGGTTACTAGTTTTTTCAATGATCAAAGCTGTTCTTATTTTGGCTATAAATAAATCTGACTGCATAATTACTACGTAATAGAAAGGAACAAGATTTTCATCATTAACATGGATGGAAAGGCTTATGTGAAAGGGTTTAACAATGCTTTTTGCACTGTTTCAAGGAAAGGGTTTTAAATTACTAAACAGGAACAGAAAATTTTCAAGCCATCTACATACAATTAGTTCCCGGTATTTCTTTTTTAGTGATTGGTGCTTTTCCCGCAGTTGATTAGCCATAAGCTTGTACTGGTCTCTTTCCTGTTGACACGTATCCAACTCTTTGGAAAGGATTAGGAGAGCTTCCTTCTTACTTTCTAGCTTCCTTTTACATACCAGATACTGCCAAGAACAAAACAAAACAAAATGTTAAGTCAAAGAATATGTACTGTACATATTGAAAACAAAGCAAACGAAAACAGGAAAGGCGCATTATCTAAAATTCCTAGTTTCGAGAGAGGAAAAACCATTTAAATTGTTTCAAAGGAAATTAGGGCTGTATCAATGTTGGGGTTAGATTACAATGCTGTAACCTCAAGTCCACTGATTTGTACTCATTTAGAGGAGTACACATATTTATGTTCAGTTTGGTTGTGACTAGAGAGGCGTTTGTCCTGTAGTTCGGTTCAATTTCGGGATGGACTGGTTTGCTATTTTTCTGAACCACCACATAACATACATGCCATTGTGAACTAGCCTATCCCTGATAAATGCCTATCTGCACCTTCTGGGGTCCCTGTCAAAGGCTACTGGTTTTGTTCTGTTTTTGGTGCAGATAGGTTGTTTCTGTTTTGGTTTGATCCCAGCATGTATGATCACTGGGAACCAGAGATTAATAAACGGTATGGGTAGACAGTTCCAGTGATTAGTATGATCTAGCCTGGCAAGCTAGCCTATGTAAATTTATGCCCCAAAATATGTCTTGAAGAGGCCACAGGATTCCTGCTTCTTTGAAAACAATGTCCTTCCTTTTTGAAAAGCTTCTTAGCTTTTTTTAAAGGGTTGGAAAATAAAACATGGACCTCATTGGTTCTAATCCATATTTTCATCCACATGCTGTAACTGAAAATGTTAATCCAGTTTCTGAGTATCTGAGTTTTTACTAATAATTGTGTCATATATTTACCAAGAAGAAGAGAGAAATATGACTTAAAATGATAAAAACATTTTAAAACTCCTGAAATTAATGGCAACTTTTAGAAAAGATAATTTTGTATTAGAACATATTACGTATAACAAAGATCTACCACTGTGCATTCGGTACTACACGAGTGCTTGAAGTTACATATTACATATTATTCTAATCCACTAATCCAGTGATTCTCAAATTTGGGTTCTCAGGGGTTCTTGGACTGCAACTCCCATGAATCCTGGCCAGCATGGCAATTGGTGACGGCTTCTGGGAGCTGTATTTTTAAAAAGTGATGCAGCACATATACACTAGGCTAATAAACTTTTTTTAAAGAAAATCACTTTCTCAATCCTCCAACAGAGCCAAGGATGTGTTTGATTTGCCAAGAACATCTGGGGACCCCAGTTTGAGAACCACTGCACTATGCTACACTGATAAATTAATTACATGGTGGCTTGCAAAAATACACAGGCACAAAGACAGACTACTTTTCCCAAGGGACTTACAATCTCAATGCCTGAAGCACTTTTGATGGAAGATAAGGGAGCTCCTTCAACACTTTGTGATTTTTCTCTTAGGGCAAAAAGGCCTTTATCAGAGACACTCTCTCCCAACCTATATATCATGCATTCACAAGGCAAATCAAACCGCAGAAGCCTCTGTGCTGTAAGGTCTGTAGATCTTCAGCTGTAAGATCGAATCCACGCGACGGAGTGAGCTCCCATCGCTTGTCCCAGCTCCCGCCAACCTAGCAGTTCAAAAGCATGCAAATACGAGTAGATAACCAGGGACCACCTCGGTGGGAAGGTAACAGCATTCCGTGTCTAAGTCACACTGGACATGTGACCACAGAAGATTGTCTTTGGACAAATGCTGGCTCTATGGCTTGGAAATGGGGATGAGCACCGCCCCCTAGAGTCGAACACGACTGGACAATAATTGTCAAGGGGAACCTTTACCTTACCTAAGTACTGCTAAAGACACCTTAATACTTCAGGAGATACAACAAAGACCTGCTAACAAAAAGCAATGCCCTGTAATATCCTTGTTTTAAAACAGACCACATTTTTACTTTTTCAGCTAAAGGACACTAAACCTCTACATACTTTCTGCAAATAGCCACTGTTACTGTATTTAAAAAAAAAGAACCCTCTTGTATATATTTGCATGTTTCACCAGAAAGTTTTCAAACATGTTACTTTGTTTTTATACTGTGTCATCAAGTTGGAACCGACCTATAGTGACCCTAAGAGGCCTTTCAAGATAAGTGAGATATTTAAGGAGTGATTTTACCAGTTCCACTCCCCCAGTGAGCTTCTATGGCCAAGAGGGGAATTCAAACCCTGGGGTCCAAAATCCTAGTCCATCACTCTATCCACTACACCACACGTGTTACTTGACTACTTTTAAAAAACCTGTCTTCTGTGGGTCATCAGTTGCTCTATCAGTATAAATATCTTCAGAATACTTCTTCACAGCTTGTCAGCCACTTTTATATGGTACCTATTCATCATCACAGCAGACTTCAATTGCTATAAATAACTGGGTGCCATCAAACAAGTTCTGATTTATGGTGACCCTTTTCAGGGTTTTCTATAGAGAGTTCTCAGAAGTAGTTCACCTTTCCCTTCTTCTGGGGGCCTCCTGGGACTGCACCTTTTGCCCAAGGCCAAACAGGCTGGCTCTTCTGGAATGCACAATGGGAAACTGAACTCCCAACCTCTGGCTACATAGCCAGATACCTAATTCACTGAGCTATCCAGCCACCTTGCTATAGGTTCATAATAAGTTAAGTCAGATATACTGAATTTTATATTTTTCTCTTACACCCTGTTAATTACTCTGAAACAAAGCAAAATGAGGAAGGTGGACATTTCAGGAAAGCGAGAAGGCTTTCCTCTATATCAAATGGTCATATGTGACCTCAGCTATTTTTAGTGACAAATCTGCTTAGATCTCATAAATGACCTTATAAACAGATCAAGCCAGAACATGTGTTAAAAGTGAACCACACACTCAGATCCTTAGTGATTTTGCAAACTGGGAGTACAGTATCACTGATCAGCTTTGCCTCCTTCCTCCAAATACAGGCTACATATCTTCTTTTCCTGTCAATGGGTTAGCATATCATCAGGATTCCAGAGACTCTGACAACATCCTATCTGGAGCCAAGGCAATTAAGTTCCAGAAGTTACATACTTGGTGAGCATGTTGTGGGAAACGGACTACTATACAGATTCCTGTTGGGTGTTTCTGCCTCTTTGAAGTGTACAAAACTCTTTTATGGATTAAGTGTTTTTATACTGAATGAATCAATGTTGGTTTCAGTAGATTTCTGGTTAGGCATAAAATATTTGTTAGTAATTGGATGCCTATAGTGTTAAAATACATTAAAATGTTAACTGTGCTCAGTAACATTTGATAAAACAATTTATGTGCTTAGCATTTACCACTGATGACTCACAGCTGAATATGGTGGCAAACTCCGAATTTATATTGACATGAGGAGATGCAATGATGAGGAAGTATGAACAATATCCAGAGCTGAAGATATGGGTGTACTGGGTGTGATTTAACATGAAAGCAAAAATGTGCCCCCATTACCAGCAGAACGTGAAAGCCATAAGGGAGATTTTTATATAGTCATATGAAAAAGAAAGTAGACCATCTTTGAATTCTATAGTTTTACATATCTGGACATAATAAAAACCAACTGGTCCTTATCAGGTCTGAAAATTAGGTAAATTAAACTTCAGATGAAGATCAGCACATGGCATATTACGCAGTGCAATGATTTATTTTACAAAAATACAGAGGTGCCCCGCATAGCGAGGTTAATCCGTTCCGGATTAACCGTCGCTATGCGGAAACATCGCTATAGGGAATGGAAAATGCCATAGGAACGCATTAAATTTAGTTTAATGCATTCCTATGGCTTCTAAACTCACAGTTAAGCAAAGTTTCCCCATCCGGCCGCCATTTTTACGCCCTCGGTAAGCGAGGGCGGGGTGCGAAAACAATGAAGGCGGCCATTTTGGGTGTCCGGCAGCCATTTTGGAACCGCCGAACAGCTGATTTTTAAAAAATCGCTATGTGAAAATCGGTAAGCGAAATGCTTACCGATTGTCGCAAAGCGGTTTTTAAATCGCTATGCAAAAATCGGTAAGCGAAATGCTTACTGACTGTCGCAAAGCGGTTTTTGCCCTATTCAATCATCACAATGCGATCGCATTAGCGATCCAAAAAAACGGATCGCTATGTGAATTCGTCGTTAAACGGTGTGCTCGTTATGCGAGGCACCACTGTAAAGCCAAAATGGAGAAGCCATGTGTGAAAAACTAAGTATGTTCTTACAAAAATCGGTAAGCGAAATGCTTACTGACTGTCGCAAAGCGGTTTTTGCCCTATTCAATCATCACAATGCGATCGCATTAGCGATCCAAAAAAACGGATCGCTATGTGAATTCGTCGTTAAACGGTGTGCTCGTTATGCGAGGCACCACTGTAAAGCCAAAATGGAGAAGCCATGTGTGAAAAACTAAGTATGTTCTTACTGCTTCCAAAGGAATTAAGAGGCTATGTAGCAGCCAGGTGCTGCTAATCAAATGCCCTTGAGTAATTGATCATCATCAAGTGTGACCACTTCTATAAAACACAAAGTTTTAGCAGTTTGTTGGTCTAGACTAGAGCATTCAAATCTGTGTTAACACCATGCCAAGGACAAAACACATCAGCAATGATTATAGAAAAGCAATTATTGCTGCCCATCTATCTAGGAAGGGTTATAAAACCATTTCAAAACAACTTAAAGTCCATCATTCTATAGTGAGGAAAATTATTCACAAGAGGAAAACATTCCAGATAGTTGCCAATCTCCCCAGGAGTGGGCGTCGAAGCAAATTCATACCAAGGTCTGATGGTGCAATGCTCAGAGAAATAACAAAAAAGCCTAGAGTTACATCTCAGACTCTACAAGCCTCAGTTAGCATGTGAAATGTTAAAGTTCATAGCAGTACAATTAGAAGAAGACTGAACAAGTATGGTTTTTTTGGAAGGGTTGTCAGGAGAAAGTCTCCTCTCTAATAAGAACATGGCAGCATGGCTTGGGTTTTCAAAGTTGCATCTGGACAAACCACAAGACTTCTGGAACCATATCCTTTAGACAGACGAGACCAAAGTGAATATGTTTGGCCATAATGCACAGTGCAAT